TGTTCCATATGCAACACCTTCCTCAGCAGTTATTGTAACAAGGTACGTGCTGTACTATCGTACAGTACATGATATGTGCGTACACAATTTTACGCACATAATTGACAGTGTTAACCTCCCGCGCTTGATAAAGATGTTACTCATCGCGAATTTGTCTGATTGATTATAGTCATTCCTTGCTAAAACGTCTTAACACATTCGTAATCTGTCTTGTTCAATACTGCGTTTAAAATGTTGTCCATTATGTGACAACTACAGGCTCTATACCTCTCGCAAGACTTTGAAAGAGATTTGATTTAGTAGGCACCTTAGCGACTGCTTGTTGTCAACAGTATATCTGATGTAGCTCAAGTTATCAAAAAAACGGACGAGCAACTTGATGAGTTTGGGCACCCAAAGGCCAACACGGCATCTGTACTGGTCGCCGCCACCTGCAGCAAATTTTCTATGAAGGTGGGCCGTTTAGCAAACAATACATATTATGGACATGTTACTTTATTGTGACAATGAGGCACAGCAGGCGGAAGGAGGTACATGGCAATCGCCTAATCATTCATGGCACTAGAGCTACAACGTTGGTACTAGCTTTCAATTTGAATGCGTGTATCTACTAGCCAGCTAAGAGAAAACGGAATCATGCTCACTAGACAATAGCATTTGAGTTATAAATAACAAGAGGTGTTTATTGACGTATGAACCGTTCGTTTAGCACTCAAAAACTCAACCTTCGACTATATCAGTCTTTAAATATGACCCAGTCATATTTGTCGGTCTTATACTTAAGTCTGTCGTCTTGATCATCATGTCCGTTTAGCACTCAAAAACTCAACCTTCGACTACATCAGTTTTTAAAATATGAACCAGCCATATTTGTCGGTCTTATACTTAAGTCTGTCGTCTTGATCATCATAAAGAAATACCAAGATACAGTAACATATTAGCTGCGTTTCCCAGCAAGTGCAGCCCGCAGTGCCAAGCTGACGATACGTTCTGGCTAGGAGCCTTGCGTGCCTGAAAGTAGCAGTAGCCCGAATTGGCCACCACCAGTGCGTACATAATCTGTACCAGCGAGTCTTGGCACACAGCTATGCAGTAATAGGCGTGGTAGAGTGCAGCAACAAAGACTGTCATCATGTCGGCCGTACGGCGCCAGCCCTTGATTGGATTGCGCCAGTAATTAAGTGACGTGATGAGAACCAGGAGCGCGACAAAGGCGCAGCCCCAAAGCTTGTTGTGTACTGCGCTGATTACCGAGAAGCACGTGGTAAATGAGGAACGGAACAGTCGTGAAGAATAGCGCGGCGACAACACAGGCGGGCACGAGGACGACAGCTTGATGGCCATGATGATTGACCTCGATAATATATGTAAATGACACAAATTAAAGCGTGACAAAAACGATAATATGTATGTGCACTAAATGATTCGAGATAAATTATTGATATGCGTGTTGAAACTGCACATTACTAATACTTCTGAGATTACCTCATACATCAAAGTGTGTATGCTACGTGATCCTTGCACATCGTTGTTATCGAGCCTCATGATATCCCTATGGCAATAAAAAAAATGTAACGGGTTATGTATATCCAGATCTTTGAAAAAAATGGAAAGATCGGAAGATTTTTCATCCTGAATCTTAGTGAATCTCCTGGCTACAAAAAAATGGAATAGATGCAAAAATGTCCGTATAATTATATTCCTGATTGCGATCTAATCAATAATCCAGATGTCTCAGTCTCAGGTGCTCTAAAGTAGCGATTTGATGTTACAATTAGGTCCCCACGTCACTTGCATGTGCTGTGCTCGAAGCACACAATCCAGGCCGTACAAGAAGACTTGAAACAAGCATTTGACCAAATATGTGCGCCATCATCTCAGTCGTCCTAGCCAGCAAGTGCTAGTGATTATTTGGTTTTGATATGCTATACGTCGCCAATGCATCGATAGATGTCCATTAGCTGACTGGTAGCACTCGCACGATGTTCAAAAAAAGTGACTGCTACCTGCAGCAATTGATGTCAACCAGTCGATATCTAGACTTGCGTTCGGTCTCAAGATCTGGGTCTGCAGGTAAAAGTGCAAAAAAGCTGCCCCATACTAGACAGTTCACATCATGACACGAGGCCGGAATCAGCATAGCATCGACACCGACCTGGCAATATGGTCAACTTGATACGTGGCCTTAGTTCTAGCCAGACGCACGCACAACAGACTGGGATCCGAATCACACACAGTAAACTTGAGTTCAGAATGGGTGTATGGCGACGGGACAGCGAGCTTGGATGAGAATTTACAACTCTAACTTGGCATCGCAATCACAGATATAGGTAGACACTGATGTTGGCTTCCAGCTTGTAGCGATTGTCATGGTCGTCCGTGAATTAAAGTGGTCAGCAACGAGTATTATTCGGCACGTTGGACTGCAGAGCGAAAAAAATTTGCGACTGGATGCAAACTGCATGGAAGACCGCGAGTTTGCCGATCGCGCCCATTTCATGCGCGCTATGCATATTGGCGTAAACAGTCTTGACTCCAGGATGCACTCGAGTAAAGGAAGCCGAGATCTTGGTTTGAATCATTTATTACCACAAAGCCAGCTATTGTATACTTTGTGCACAACGTTATTGAAGAGTGAGTGGAACGTGCGATTCTTGTGGAGCCCAAATTTCATGCCCGTCGGAACAATTACAAACCTCTCTTCATCGTCCGTGTCATTCGAGGAAGATTTTTTCCTTTGGTTCCTTCTGAGATTGATACAAGCTAACCAAAGCTTTGTGTACTGTTGATTTTGTGAGACACCAAGTATGATACAGCATCGTATCGATATGAAGGCGACGACCACAACGAGCAGTAGGATGTAAGGAAAACGCATTTCTTCGTATTTACTGTAGTCGAAGTGAGTGGTCAGAGGATGTTGACAGAATGGAATATGAATCACCGGCTCACCACCGTTCGACTGATCTGATGTACAGAGCCATGAGCAATGGCTTGACGTTCAAGTAGGATGATATTTTTAAAAAGTAGCAAGTTCAATACAAAAGTTCAGCTATGTATCGGTAATACTCACATACTAAAACCGAATAGAAAACAACCAAAAAAGCAAAAAAATATTTTGATACCTGATTGACTTTCAAACCTGATAGATCTCAAAAGCATTTAATACTAAGTTGAATATGGACTGCCAATAATGAAGTTTAAACCTGGTCGAACGACTAACTGATACAGTTCGTGATGTTACACCTAAACTTCAAGTCAGCGACAGAGGGCAGAGGGAGGAGTAGGCAAAGATACCTGTGCCGGAAGTCGAAGTGTATACGACAGTGGACGAATGTAGGTAGTTTACGACTGCCACAAATTTATGTATGGTTACACAATGTCCTCAAGGAAATGGTATACAATGCTTTCTTAAGCTAAAATGGTAGATTTCAAATACTAATTAACTTGTGGCGCATTTGTGAGAAACGTTGTCACGCGCTTGCTCCGCTTGGGGGTAACTTTGATTTTAAACTTTGTCATGTGGCAAGTACTCTTTCAATACCTTGAACTGCAAAGTACAATTTAGAATTTACAAGTAACTAGGTATCGGTATTTATGAAGATAATCTCTACAAAGGAGAGGCTAGCCGCACGTCAAGTAATTTTGACAATTTTATTATGTTATATGGTCACTATCAAGTATTTTCGTCCTCAACATATATTCAGAGCTATAACGGTAGTTACTCGAAAGGGACGTTGTGCATTTTTTCACGAGCACACTCCCAAAGCTGGTGAACGCCGTCAAGTGAGCTATTACCACATCTGTTCTTTGGCCGTCATTTTGTCAATTCTGTCGGGACCAATAGTAACAGGCATAAAGTTACTAATCTGGTCAAGTTACCCCGGAAGCAGATAACAAAACACCACAATTCCAGCCTACAGTACTTTCACGACTCGATCGTGGGATTGATTACAAGTGCTATTAAATGCAACAAGAATGCCTTGTGCTTTGCGCTGGGGAAGCTTCAGCTCAGTGAGTCTGCGTTAGCAAACGCTTCAGTATGGACGCTCACTACAAGAGCCGAATCGAGTGCAGACCGAGCGCTGCTGAAATAACAGAGGCATACACCGTGAGGTCGATGATGCTGAGACTTTAAAGTTTCGTCAGCCGAGACGAAAGAAATTTCTTTCTGGACAAAGGAAGTCGAGAATAGCCATGGATGCGACAATGCTCCAATCCGGGCAACAGTGCGTCACGCAAGCGGTGTCTAAACTAGAAGCCAGTGCGCTAGAATGGATACCTAAGTGCAACGTCACTGTGTTAGAGGTATAACCATCATAGGACCTTTTTAAGCGACAGATATAATGTAAGTGTTAACATCGCGTCGGATGCGCTCGTAATCCCTGTCCATCTGTCAAGGAAGATAAGCTATGTGCAGGATTAAGAATTCTGACCGCTGCAAAACGTCAAAAACTTGCGGAGGAATACTCATGGAGACCAACCATGAGGAGGACTTCAGACGGGTGCGGGTCAAATCAAAACGTTTGCGCCAAGCCTCTCGTTTTTGTCAAGCGGGTCTTTCGCATTGAAAGTGAGGGTGACTTTCATACGCCGCGTAGCTTGTCGAGGTACTGAGATTTATAAGCGCGCCGGTGGCAATGAGCCTCAGAAATACTGAGCAGAAAGAAAGTCCCCATATATTCACTCGGTACTTGCAATTTCTTATCTATGTGACTTACGAGACACTTACGCCTTGCATGCTCCCTTCGTACTCGTGTGAGAGATGCAAATGGTCAAGCCCTCACGCAGAACTGTTTGACGACCCCTTAAAGGGAAGCGTCGTGTCTCTGTGGACGCGAGGCGGCTTACTGAGAGAAAGTTGGCTCCTATCGCACCTCGTATAGATAGTGGTCAATGAGACCCAGCGATAAATAAGAGAGAGGTGGAGCTACCAACTCAGAATTGATGGCTATTGATCTTAATGACCCGGGATATGTGAAGTCGTGGACTGTCCTGGATGTGTGAACGTGTCATGTCTTAATTTTGACGCCGTAGAAAGTTCTGAAAGAATCATAAGCATTGTGATTTTACATATGACGCGTGACTTTTGAATAGGATAGACAGTGCACGGAGGTGTCGATATTTTACGTAATTAAAATATGTTGTCCTGGCATAGGGGGCCTGGATAAGCAAAAAGACTCGCTGGAATTTTCTTGGAACTGTTGAGAGCTTTGACAGCGTGGACCGGTATAGTCCTGGATCTAAATATACGATATGATTTTATCCTAGGTATGGCCTGGCTTGACCGCCATTTATCATGGGTCAACTGGAAAGGTTAAGAGGTAGAAGCGAAGTTGGCTACGCTGTCGAGACGACACAGATGTAGCTAATCGTTTATTGTAGATTCCAGATTGTTTCCCGGTTGTGACATAAGTAAACGATAGCCAGAGTGTATGTAACGGGGTTACACATACCCTGGGAGCAGGGGGGATGTCACACCGGATGACCATGCTGTGACCACACCCAAACAAGAATACGGTACGGGGCTGGATAGCCAGTATTTATACATGTATTTAGATTATACTATACATATTTAAGAAAATCTATGCATTTAAAATTAGGCGGCTATAAAAATAAATACTATCAGTTTTGGATTTAAACGGAAGAGTTAATCGGCCGTGGATTAAGTTTGTGATAACTCTTGGAGTAAGCGGATTGCGATCCGCTAAACTCGAAATTGTTCTAAGTATAGAACAAAAGGTCGGTGACCTAGCTTACGCATCCTCTAAGCGCAAAGCTACGACAGCCCCGCTGCATTTGTTAGCACTCTTAGTAAACCTACTCCTGATTCGTTAAGACTGATCCTCTGTAAGGATGGAACAATTTTCCTCTTTTCCCCAGGACATGCAGGACGGGCTTAAAAAGCTGATGTCTTTGCTTGGCCATGAGGGCGTGCAACACCTTGCTGCGCAAGGCCCTGAGGCAATCGGTGCGCGTCTAGAGGGGTTTTCAAATTCCGAAAACGCGCTGCTAGAGCACCTGCAGCAGAAGATGTCTACATCATTTGCTTCTATGACGCCACCGTCAGTGACGGATGGTTTTCGCCGCCCTAAGCCGCTCATCGTGAGCGTTGAGGTCTTCGAGAGAAAGCTCTGGGTGAGAGAGGACGAGATAACCATCGCATCCGCCATGTTCCAGTCCGAGCAACAGCGCGTGGCGCTAGCCATCTCAAAGCTCGGTGGTCGAGCCAGAGAATGGGCACTGACGTGCGGCACTTCGGTCGAAGCTGCGTTTTGCTCCCGGGCGGAACTGAAATTGCAGCTTTCACGAGTGTTCTCGCCGCCTAACCAGGCGTAACGCGTGCAATCGCGTTTCCTTGCTGCCCGACAGGTCAACAAGAAATTGGTGGACTTTGTCCAAAGATGCGCATTCTCATTGCCAGGATGGCAGCAGATCCCCTTCCGGAGGCGGTCACAGTGACCATCTCAATGGGAGGCCTCCGCACTGGTGTGGCCAGATCGGAAGTCTTCCGTGTGCATCCGTCTTCGTTTGAAGGGGCGGTGAATGTGGCATTGAATGCCGAAGTCG